ACAATTCTGACTTGATAACACGCAATTACGAGAAAATAGTTAAGAAATGCGAGTTTATATACTGCACTTCTGACTTTAAAAGTTGCAATTTTTAGTTTATAAAACGGATAGTTCCGGTCCTTGATTCTGATTGGTTGAGCCACGTTCGAAGCTGTTGTAAATTACTCTACAAACATACACCTTTTGTTTACATTTGTGTGTTGCTCGGCAACCACTTTGTTGGAACCACAACCGTTTCTGAGGAACTACATTGTTTGGTGGAAGAATACTGTTTTTATTTATATCATTACAATTTATTTGTTCTGTTTTATTTAGTGAAACCTTACTACGTATATGGAATAACCGTTTTATAAAAGCAGACTCAAGGCAATTTTTGACTCCGCTTTGCATCGTGCCTATCAACACCCCTTAGCTGTTATAAATTCACTGAAAAACCAAGGCTTCTTGGGGCTTATTGCTTTATTATATCTTGGAATTCTGTAAAAAAAAAAAAATGTCTGAATTGTGACATTGATTCATGTAAACTCGAAATTACGAGGAAAAAGTCTGAATTATAAGATAAAAGTCACAATTACCTTTTTTACTTTTCATTCAGTGTCAGAAATGGGCTTCCATGCCTTTTTCATGCTTGTAAAGTGAAACATTTCCCTTTAATTATGTGTCTGCTATTTTGAAGCGGTTTGACGGAACAAGAGCCGTCTGTATTAACGATCCGTGACTTTCTGTTCAGGGAGGCGGCTGCCGGTTCTTAAGGTACAACTGCTCCATTGACGCTCCCAGGAGAGGCTGGGCGCTCATGCACCCCGGACGCCTCACTCACTACCACGAGGGCCTGCCCACTGTAGAGGGGGTCAGATACATCGTTGTCTCATTTGTGGACCCTTGAACTACTTTTTATCGGAAACTTGGATTTGCTTTGAATTCAGAAGACTCTAGAATAATCAAATCATGTTGACACAGTGCCTTAGATTGTGAATATGCCAGTGTGTATATATATTTTCCATGTTTTATGTTACGTAGAGGCATCTTTTGATAACGATCGATGAATGTCGAAAGCAGTTTGACCGATCACTATGCAATATGTGACTTCTATGCAGTGACATTTCACGCGTTTATTTATTGTCATGTATTGAAGGGATTATTCCATACAGATGAAGTGGATTTTGAAAATGTGTCTGTCCTTGCTTTGACATTCAGGTTTATTGAGCTGTTTTCTTTGTTGATGCCCTTCAAGCAATTGGTGCTGCTGTTTGAAAACAGTCTGACAAATGGTTTGTTTTCTTACTGCTTAATGTTGCTTGTTTAGAGATTTATGTTCTTGTCTTGTTATGGATAAGTCATGTCATGAATTTTGGAAGAAAACAATAAAGAAGAGAAAAAATTGTAATGGTTAATGGTATATAATTATGCCGTCAAAAAAATAAAAGTCCAGTCAATTTTTAACCTGTATGATTTTCACAAAAGAAGCAATAGTACTTGTGTTGTGTCTGCAATTTGATTGCTTTTTTCTTTAATTTATCATCTCAAAATATGTTTTTGCTCTGTTATGAAACTGAATCCCCCCATAATCCATACATTTTATGATTTAGAAAATAAATAAATAAAGTAGCATAACAATGTGTTCGAGCTTCTGGCAAAAAGTCAGGCCTTGGTACCCTGAAGGTTTAATTGGTCAAGTACAATGGGTCTAAATTAGGATTTTTTGTTTTATTTTTAGGCTTTAATTTAAATAAATAAACTCCTGACGTCTCCACATTAATCTTTAATATGTTTCCAAGTGTTATTTTAGAAAATGTAAACCTATATGTACGTAGTCACGTGTAACCTGTGACTTTTCTCTTCACAGTTGGTTCAATTACTAAAAAATATTAATATCAATTTTAAATAAAGCTGCAAGCAGCGATTTCTGGGGTTCAAGCTTGTTCAGAATGAGGAGATCTATCATATGATATGGAGATAGTGTATAAGTGAATATATGAACATTTTATTGCAATTTGAGGCATTTACTACAGAAATACTGTGTTTTTGAGGCTGTTTAACTGTAATAGCACCACCTATGGTCCGATCTCTATGAAACTTCACATGCGTGTTAAGTGTCTTCTGTCACATGTTTTCACCAAGTTTCGTAAAGTTTTGAGTTTTCGTTTAGGTTTTATAGGCTTTTGGGTATATGTAGCCACGCCCCTTTTCTAAATGACCCCGTTGTAGCTCACCAAATGACAAAATTCAATTGGCAGAGCTGCGCATTTTTTTTTATTTGACCAAAGATTAAGCTCCTACATACGTGTACCGAGTTTAGTGAAGATATCTCATTCCGTTCAAGAGTTATACTGCAATTAACATTTGGCTAACGTTAGCATAGAGGCTTCTTGGTGTACTGTTTCGCGCAAAAATCGAAATGTCAACTTCTTTTGATAATTATTGATATTCATTGTCCAGCGAATATTTCTGCAGTGGTTTGGTTCCGATCGGGTGAAAAACCTCGGACTAGTTCGCAAAAGTAGGTTTGGGATATAGGTCAATTTTACGGAAAAACCGTGCGTCGTAGAGAAAATCTGTCTGACTCCAATTTTGTTTGTGTTGACCCAAGGATTGCAACAATGTAAAATTGAGTCTACGACAAAAGGTGTACGAGTTAGGGCCAACAATGTATGAAATTTTAGTTTTTTGCACTGTAGCTACGATCAGTTTGGCGTACTGTTTCGCGCAAAAATCGAAATTTCAACTTTTTTGATAATTATTGATATTCAGTGTCCAGCGAATATTCCTGCAGTGGTTTGGTTCGGGTGAAAAACCTCGGACTAGTTCGCAAAAGTAGGTTTGGGATATAGGTCAATTTTACGGAAAAACCGTGCGTCGTAGAGAAAATCTGTCTGACTCCAATTTTGTTTGTGTTGACCCAAGGATTGCAACGATGTAAAATTGAGTCTACGACAAAAGGTGTACGAGTTAGGGCCAAACATGTATGAAATTTTAGTTTTTTTGCGCTGTAGCTACGATCAGTTTTAGTGGAGAAAAATAATAATTAAAAAAATCCTTACAATTACAATAGGGTTTCAGCACTGCGTGCTTGCACCCCTAAATATTAAAATTCAAGAATGTATGAGGTGGATTTATGTTTGTATGTCATGTACAAGTCGGGCCAACAATGTATGAAATTTTAGTTTTTTGCACTGTAGCTACGATCAGTTTTAGTGGAGAAAAATAATAATAAAAAAAATCCTTACAATTACAATAGGGTTTCAGCACTGCGTGCTTGCAGCCCTAAATATTAAAATTCAAGAATGTATGAGGTGGATTTATGTTTGTATGTCGTGGATTTATGTTTGTATGTCATGTACAAGTCCATGGCTTTTTTATTCAGATTTCACTGAATAAAAACCGTTCCGTTGCGTTGCGCGCCCCGTGAGGACGGAACATATCTTTGTCAAACAAAAGCCGTCGCACTTCGATTACGTAACACCTAGCCCGCCAACCTTAGTAGCTATATGCTCAGATAATGGCGACCGAGTAATAGCCGAGCTGTCGGATAGACATGGAATATATTGTTGAAAACGCATATTTATGTTAAACGTCAGGCTAAAACACATCATATTGATTGAAGCTTTTAGACTAACTTAACTTTCACGGGTATTTAGCAACACTGCTTTCACGCGCCCGTCTGATGAACAAACAGTGCGTGAACATTTATTTCGGTGTTATTGCGGATCTGCTTTCGGTTTCGCTCAGCCTGCAGTGTCTTCGTTAACAGCTGTCTTCGGAGAAAAGCTCTCCCAGAAGAGGATTTTGGGGTTCATTACGAGGACATCGCTGGATCAACATGCTTGAGGACTGTTTTAAGATATAATCACTCCGTCCTTGCTGGTAAACACATTTTATTATAAAATATACAATAACGAATATTAAAAACTATTGCTGTGCATGTTAGGTTTATAATTTCACCGTGTCTTCAATTTCTTAGGAATATTTTAACGTTTTCAACGTTAGATAAGTAAAAGGAGATAGGAGTAGGAATACATCACTAGCCCGGTCTGTCTGATCCAGTTAATATTATAAAAGATATTACGTCTCTATGACAGCCAGTCTCTATAAACAGCAAGAGAAAGTCAAGGGGAGCGGCCCGCTCTTTTTAACCAATCAGAATCGCGCCTCCCCTGTCCATCATTTTGCGCGTTCGCTATTATTCACATGGGATTGGCTAACATGTCTTAGGGGGCGGGATTTTGTCGTGAGGTCGTGTGGTTGATGCTAGAAAAACGACTGAAATATATTTTATATTTGATATTATTATATTTTATTATACTGTACTGTATATATACTATGCTACATATTATTATCATTATACTATATTTGATGTTTTACGTGTTCAGGCTTGTTGAATGGTTGAAGGTAAAATTCAGTCACGTGATCACGGGTCTAGTAGTACAGAGGCGTGGATTGGAGCCGAATGCTGCCGCTGCTGTCGGTGACATTGAAAGTGCTCTTCGCCGAGGCTGTGACTCGGATAGCAGTCTGTCTGGTCCTGTTAAATCTGAGCTCAAGACACCAAAGGTGCTGCTGGTGTTTGTCTCGGGATATTTCACTCGTGTGACCCGGTGGAGGAGAGGACGCCTCAGTGACACTGGTCTCGTGGAAGTCAAGCGATATCTCTGATATCAGTGTGTGTTATGGGTTACAAAACGATGATTGCATTTGATCAAGACTCTGCTTTGAGTTTACCGCGATCAGTGTATGTGATTGGTCACTGAAAAAGCAAATGCTGGGCAGCTGATAGGGCTTATTGATCTTCTCTATTTTATACAAGCTCCCACACACATTGTCAGGTAAGACTGTTGTTTTATCAGTAACCTGTGTTTTTTTATTTCTGTTTAAACAGTTGTTTTCTGCTGAAACGTGTGTGTGTGTGTGTGTGTGTGTGTGTGTGTGTGTGTGTGTGTACAGGTTTATATATCCTGGTGGGGACCTAAACCTGAATACACACAGACTCATGGGGACTCGTGTCACGGTGGGGACCTAAATTGAGGTCTCCAGGGGTACAAAAGCTTATAAATCATACAGAATGAAGTTTTTTGAGAAAGTAAAAATGCAGAAAGTTTCCTGTTTAGGTGTAGGGTTATAGGGTACACTAAAAACTGGTATGCCTATGGAGAGTCCCTACAAGGATAGCTGACCAGATTTGTGTATGTGTCTGTTCAAAACATTTCGATAACGTTCAGCGAAGCAGATCTCCCAGTCAGATCATCATTACCAGCAATATATCCAAAGTATGTTGTATAATTAATAGACCATTGTGTGAACGTTTGAGAATTGTGCACTAGTAAGAATGCTTGCGTAATATTAAAGGGAGTGTATGGGAGTGTCTCCTCTGCTTATCAAGAGCCTGATAAAGGACATACTTGTGTGGCATGCAGAGATCTTTAGTATACAGACAGCACCTGTAGCTGTGGTGGTTTGGCAGACACTGTTGTTACCATGGTGCAGTTTTTTATGGTGCAATTATTTATAGAGAACACCCTTTGTTGACTTTGGTGGCTTAGTTGTAATTCAGGCAAATGCTTTTATATGCACTTGCATGAAATTGCAAATAGTGTGTTGCTGCATCACATTCTATGTTATCTATCTATTTTACAAACTTTTCCCCCTATAATTCTAGTATAATTATTATGCATGCAGTGCAGTGTTATGATCCCATTACTTGAGAGATATGGAATATTTTTACTCAAACAATTTTTTATATATATATATATATATATATATATATATATATATATATTCAGAAGCAATAGAAACAACCTGGTAATATCTTGGGCTGCACAGGCAGAATGCTGTTTTCTACACACAGCTGACGAGGTCCAGATTATTGGCATATGGCAGAGGGTTTCGCTGATGGTAAGTTATCAGGTTAAGTCGACCTCTGATGTCTGGTTACCTTATTTTAAGTGCTGGACGCATCTGGACGCATTATTGATGTTGCATTTGTCCTTTTAGTCTGTGCAGTGAAGGTGACTTTCCAGAACGCTTGATCTTGCACGTACCAACTGCAGCTCCAGACTCTTTAATATGATACCACTCAGATGTTCAGAAGAACCCTGACATTACCAGCGCTGAATGTTAATAGTGTACTGTATGGCTGAGGTTATGCTCATGAACTGATGGCCAAATTTGGCTTGGTTTGAAGAAGTGATATGGGTCTCAAGGTCTTTAGTTTAAAAAAAAAAAATGTATTGAATTGAATTTGTGGTTTGGCAGACACTGTTGTTACCATGGTGCAGTTTTTTATGGTGCAATTATTTATAGAGAACACCCTTTGTTGACTTTGGTGGCTTAGTTGTAATTCAGGCAAATGCTTTTATATGCACTTGCATGAAATTGCAAATAGTGTGTTGCTGCATCACATTCTATGTTATCTATCTATTTTACAAACTTTTCCCCCTATAATTCTAGTATAATTATTATGCATGCAGTGCAGTGTTATGATCCCATTACTTGAGAGATATGGAATATTTTTACTGTTAAAAATTTGGCTTTCACTCAGCTGTTTACAGTTTACAGAAACATAAAAAATCTAAAAGGTGATTAAAATGGTAAAAAATGTGCAAATTACAGTCATTTAATTTGCACTTTTTTGTTTTCTTAACACAGTTTTTAGTTTGATTCTTTTGTTCTTTTTTTCTGAAATATGTTGCAGAAAAAAAAAAACAATTT